GTGGCGCACGCCTTTAATCCTAGCACTTGGGAGGCAGAGCCAGGCAGATTTCTGAGTTCGAGGCCAGCCTGGTCTACAGAGTGAGTTCCTGAACAGCCGAGGTTACACAGAGAAACTCTGTCTCGAAAAAACAAAATCAAGCTCCTTCTTTGCACCAGGCCCTGTTTGAGTCACAGCAGTTTGTGTAGTAATACATTCGCTGCTTAACCAAGGTAGGTGAGGAAGCTGGGGTGCAAGGAAATTAAATAACACACCCCAGATCACACAGCGGGTAAGTGGGGAAGCTAGAAATGTACAGCTTTAGGATATAGGGTGACACTGTCAGCCATGAGGGTCCACAGCAACACAGAAAGCACAAGGAGGATGCTGTGATCCTGTGAAGCACTGGGTTACCTTACTGTGACATTATAACCCAGCGGGGTGCATAGCAATGACACACAGTGCCCAGAGGATGAACAGCGACTACAGAGCACCAGGACATATAGCAACGAGGGACATTTGTGTACAGAACAGAAGTATGGCCACCAAGGGGACAAATGGCTTAGGGTCTGACCAAGGTCTGAGAGGAGGTCTCAAAGTGATCACAGTTTTTAAAGAATAAGAAATGTCTTAAGAAGTTGGGAGGCAGTAGAAGAGGAAGGGATGTTTTCTAGACGAAGAAGGACATATGTCAAGAACAGTGTGCTCGAGGTTATCAAAACATCCCTGGTGCTTGGTGCAGATAAGTTATGTGCTAAGGGGTGGCCAGGGTATGGGGGAAGAGCAAGAGAGAGCACAGGGTTGTGAGCAGGGCCTGAGAGCAAGCCGGCCCACCCCACCTGTCCCCCACACCTTGCTGAGATATCACACAGGTACTGGGAGGTCTTAGAATTAGAGGGGTGGCCCTGAGGAGGTCACAGCCGGGCAAAGGGCGAACCAGAATTATCAAAAGGTAAATATCAGCAGAGCATGCTGAATAGTTAGACCAGGGCAGGGCGGCCTATGTCTCATGACACCATGGCTAGGGTTTTAGCTTGAGTGACAAGATGGACACAGGTGTCACCTAACATGATAGTGTGGCTTCCCTGCACCCTGATCTCTGAGTATAATAAGGCCCAGTCACAGCTTAGTGGTTAACACTGATTTCATGAGATGTCTAGTGGAGGCAGAGAAAACTGTTCAGAGCACTGATGCCGTGTAACACCACGCAGGTCTTGTTAAAGAAGGACCAGCCAGGGACTGGGAAGATAGCTCAGTGGTTAGCGGTGATGGCTACTCTTCCATAGGGCCAGGTTCAGTTCCCAGCACCTATGTCTCAGCTCATAACCATCTGTAATTCCAGTTCTAGGAGATCCAGTTCCCACTGTGGCCTCCGAGAGCACTGCATATACACAATGTACAGGCAGCACGCCAATATATATAAAATAAGAGTAAGTAAAATCTCAAGAAAAAACAACAGATATGGATGCTACCACCAGCAGCCAGTCCAGTCTGTGGAGATCTTTGGTGTTTGTGGGTGTAGGTGGTGTGTGTGTGTTGGGGGGGGGATTTGAAGTTGGGGATATCCTGGAGGGTAGAAAGGAGGAGATATGATAGGTAAGTGCAGGGGGGGTTAGGTCTCAGGAACATGCATGAGTTTGGGTCAAAAGTGGCATTGCAGCACATGGTCTGATGGTTTGTATATGCTTAGCCTAGTAAGTGGCATTATTAGGAAGTGTGGCCTTCTTGGAGTAGGTACCCTTATCCTAGCTGCCTGGATGCTAGTCTTCTCTCAGCAGCCTTCAGATGAAGAGGTAGAACTCTCAGCTCTACCTGCACCATGCTTGTCTGGATGCTGCCATGCTCCCACCTTGATGATAATGGACTGAACCTCTGAACCTGTAAGCCAGCCCCAGTTAAATGTTGTCCTTTATAAGACGTGCTTTAGTCACGGTGTCTCTTCACAGCAGTAAAACCCTACCTAAGACACATGGTACCCATAGAAACAAGCAGGCACACATACATAGATGTAAATCTTTAAAAGATAAATAAAACCTAAAATCAACACACAAAAACTGAAAAAAACAGTGTCAAATAGAACAGGCTTCAGAAAACAGAGCAGAGAGCCCACCTAAAGGAACTCGATCTTCCATGATGTCCCTCTGCCTCCTATTGCCACACTTTCCTTTACACGCAGCTTGCTCTGCCCACAAAGACCATGTGTGAGAGATTGTAGGTATGTAGCAGTGGAGAAGGCTGGGCCGGGGGCAGGGAGACTGAGGAATGGGCCAACTTCCACCTAAATTATACAACACCCAACAACAAGACACCTCCTGGGGGATTAGTGAGGACAAGGATTTAGATTTCTGAGGGATTTTATCCTGGGGCCAAAGTTATTCCCACTCTCAAGAGGACAGTGGAAACCTACCCACGGATGGATGGGTGTGTAGGGAGAAGTTCCCAGCAAGGACAGTGAGCTGAGTCCCGGATGGCCTCATGGTGGCCTTAGAAGGGGATCCTGTCTACCCCTTGCTGATCCTGGCTGAAGCCAAGACCATCGCCCATCCCCTCCTCCTGTTGAGAGGACTCAGGTCTTTGTATCTGTATTTATGCTACCTAAAGAGGAAGAAAAGGTCAATTTACCCTCTAGATCCCTCTCAAAATTCTCACCTCCTTCCCTTTGCCCACAGGAAGTAAGCTAACAATGAGAGCATCTTCCTACTGCTGTTCGGGCAAGGTAGGGGTAGCAATGGTGGGGTATTGGAAGTTCCTGCTAAGACTGACCAGGGGGAGGAGAGTTTTAAAGAACTCAGGCAGCCACAGCCAGTTCCATCCTGCCCTGTGGTTATTTATGCAGCATGGAGCCTTTCCAGGCCTCTTCCCCTCAGCTGCCCACTAGGGCATCGATTTCTCTAATGGCAAGCAGTGGCGGGTATTGGCTGCTCTGCCCCAAGCCTTCCTGTGGTCACTAATTACCTGAAGGTCCAGAGACTGCACTTCACAAATGGGAAAGTGGAGCCCAGAAGCCCTACTGGGCAGCAAGAGGAGGCTGGGTGAGCCTCACTCTGCTCCTCTATACCCTGACTGGCTGTTGCTGACTCAAGGGAAAACCATGTGTTGGGGGTGGAGGATGGGGAGGGATCTTCCCTGAGGAGGATCCGTGAACAAAGACCTAGAGCTGGCAGGTAGGATGTTTCCTGAGACCCAGAGGAGAGACAGTCTGCCCAGGGAGCTCTTGAGCAAGGAAGGAGACAGAGGTGACAGTCTCTTTCAAAGGACACAGAGCTAACTTGGCCCTGGACTTACTGTTTTGACTTAGACTGACTGGTTTGTTTGGGGCAGCTGTGGGAACTGCTGTTGGAGACTTAGGGCCCCAAACTCCGAGTGCCCTGGGTTATCAGCCCCAAATTAGCTGTATATGCAGGAGCCAGGTCGCTCCTCCCCACCAAGTACCTACACTGGAAAAGGGAACCAGGAGATTCAGCCTAAGGGGTCCAAGGCACCTACCACCTACCGGATGCAATCGGGTGAAGATGCCTGGACCCCTTAAATAGTCTTAAATGAGAACTCAGAGAAGTACCTGGGACAGAGTCAGACCCAATGGAGAGAGATGGCTGCCTGAGGTAGTTCTCAGGATATTCTGCTGGGAGTCTACAATAGCCCTTTCCCCACCTTCTCCCCTCCCCCACCTCCGCACTCACCCCCCCCCCCCACACACACACACAAGTGCTATGGCAGAGACAGGATGCTCCTGGCCCTCAGTGGCTGCAGTCCAGACAGTTCAGGCCTGTGAGCCTCTCAGAAAACCTTCACACTGCTCAGAGCTTTCGCTTAAAGCATCAGAGGAAACTCTCAGTTTGGGAGGTCAACTCGAGGGGTCCTGTATCCCATTAAGTTCCCAAGAGAAATCAGGCAGAAGTAATAAAAGTGTATGAAACCGGCTCTGTAAAATGTGAAATCCCTTCCACACCTCCATTTGTCCTGAGGTCTTACAGGAATGTTAAATTATTCATCAAAATCGAACATCAGAACTAACCACTACCATATACTCATGATCTGCAGTCCTGAAAACATCAGAGGCATTCAGACTCATGGTGTGGGAGGGAGAAGGGGTCATGCTTCCAAGAATGTTCATACCCTCCAGGGAGGGACCAGGACAAAGTCTGAGTCTTCTAGACACCGCAGGAAATCTTTGTTGACTTGAACATGAAAGCTATGCAGAAAATGGCCTATTGCACTTGCAGCAAGCTTTGTGAGACTCCTGCAAGGCCAGGTCTGGGAATGCCCCTTCTCCCAACACTTGTCATGGCCATAGAAAGCCCTGTTGGCATCTGGGCTTTCATTGGAGTTGGGGCAGAGAGCCTGGTGCTGATAACAGGGCCAGGATTGCTCTGGCTTCCCAACACCTCCCCAAACATCAATCCTTTGGACAGGACTAATAAATATACCCTCTCTCCTACACCAACTCCAGTGATGTCTATGTACCAAGGCACAGTTGGAGTTTCCAACACAGCTCCTTAAAGGTTTGTGGTTCTCCTCTCCCTTGAGTACTTCAGAGCTGCAGTGGTCTGGCTTGCTGAAATGCAGTGTAAGGTTGAGGATGTGTGAATGGATAGAGGAGAGAAGTGCCTGTTTCCCAACCCACTTAAAGCCTCGACGAAGGGATGGAATTGGCTGTGGAGGTCTCTGGAGAATCTCTGGTTGGGATGGGATTTCTCTTTCTGCCGACTGGCCCAACTTAACCTCAATCTCCAGCCCACACGCAGCCTCGCCTCTTGGGATTTGGGACTTGGTTCATTCCACAGAGAATTCCCGGCATCTACCGGCCGGTGATTCCATTCTAGCCCCAGCGACCAATTAAAGTCGCATCTTCCAAGGGGGGGGGGGGGGGGGGGATAGCATAGAGAGAAACTGGCTGGGCAGGTCAAGGTCACAGTGAAAGGCTGAGGCAGGGCGGTGACTGGATGAGTGGGAGGGGTCCTAAGGCTCGGGGCTCCCTCCAGAGGTGGGGAGGTCTCCCAGGACGCAGGGACAAAACTCACCGTCGGGACCACTTGGCCGACGATCTCCCGAACGGCCGCTTCCACAGAACCCCGTAGAGCTGTACTTTGGTGCTGATGTCCAGCGCGTCCGCGTCCGCCTGCTCCAGGGACGGCGATGGCGACACGGAGTTGGACTTGGATGTGAACATCGTGTCTCGAAGACTCTGCCCTGGCCGGGCCCACTCCCTTCGTGGGACTGGAAGGGACAGGGAGGACAGTGGGAAGCAGTGGGCACGGAGAGTGCAGGCAGTTGGGGACGCCGTCGGGGAGCGTATCCCGGTGAGCCGAGGGGCGCGGGAAGCTTAGCCAGCGGCTGGGGCGAAGCTCCGGAGCGCCGCCGGCTGGGAGGGACTCCGCGGGGAGGGCAGCTCCGCCGCAGGCTCGCAGCATCACCCCCCTCCTCCCCTCCCGTGCGGGCAGCCTCAATTCTGGTGGCCTGGATTGGCTGGGAGTGGCAGGTGAGCCTCTCAGTCCGACCGCGAGCGCCAATCAGGGCTGGCGCCGACTGCAGGAACTAGCTCAGTGAGTCTGCAGGGTCCCGGTCGGTCACTCGGCTCCGGATTTGGCCACTGCACCTCCCCACCCCCACTCAGGCGTCCAGCGCTCCCCCAGTTCCTTGTGGTCCGTCGTGCCTACATCAAAAACGCTGGCCAGGGGTGGTCCGTAATGGGCAGGAGTCACTCGGCTGCCACCTGCTCGCCTCTGGGCGTGAGCGTGGTGTTAGGGAACTGCGCTTGCCATTCCAACTCCGGCTTTAAATGGCTCGACTAGCCGCTGGATCGTGGTTTTCTCACCTGTAAAGCGGAGACGCTCCTACCTCTTAGGGGGTAGGCCGGTGGCCAGCTAAGACTTCGGTAAGTGCCCAAGGACCCGCCTCGAAAAGAGGTTCCAGTAAGATTCCTGGCCCTTTCCTGTTCCCGCAGGTGGGTTTCACTTTGCGCTGGACCAGATCGGATTTCTTTTCCTGACACTTGGCAGTCTGTGTTGGCATTTGGCACTCAGTGTCAATCTCAAACTGTCAATGCACTTTGTGTTCATGATTTATCTGTGCGCCTCCTTGTGCTCCCCAGGGCTACCTGCTCTGTCCACTTCCGCTCTTGGTGTAGTGTAGGCATTTGTTGATCGAATCACTTTAAGGCCAGGCCTGGGGACTGCCTCACCTTCTTCTCTTTAAGTGGAAAGGCACTCCAAAAGCTGAAGGGTTTGTTTACGTTCTGGAGCCACTCCCCTCCTTCGGCTCCTTCTAGACTCTTCAAGGTTGGAAAGCCACTGGCCCTCAGGGGCAGTCGTGATTGACCTGTGCCCTTAGCAAAACCACTTTCCTCCCTCAGGATCTGTGATTCCTCTGTGTGAAACCGAGAAGTAAAAAAATGCAGCAGAGCTTGCAAACTAATGGGTAATCTGAGAGCCAAATCGGTTTGCTCGAACGTTGTGAGTTTGCCCTGCGCAAGCAACACCCAGGTGTACTTAGTATATGGGATCTCAAGGACTCGTTTGATAAATGCATGCATCATGTGACCACCACCCAGCGCAAGATAAAAAATTTTCCAGTCCCTGCTCCCTTCTCCAGCCAACCCACAATCACGTTTCTCAGTTTTCACCATTTCCTTATTGTCTTGAAATATTTGACCTGTGTTGTGATAAATATTACTTGGGGGTTTCTACCCCGCCTTAGATCATTAAATTCCCAAATGAAACACACAAAACATTTCTGTTTATAATAAGCCTTAAAGCACTAGAGCTGGGCAGATATCAACCCTGTATGCTATTTTGTCTACTTTCCTGTCAATAATCTAGAGATATCATTTGTCATGTTCTGCCTGGGCCACTCTTACTCCAACTGGCCCGCCCTCAGGGCCATGTGCTCATGACCCACATCCCCCTTGGGGCTTTCTTCTTCCTCTCTCCCCTGGGTGGTTTCTGCCTCAGATTCCAAGCCCTGGGGAACCAAAGCACCACCAACCTCTTTTCTGCCCAGCTACAGGCTGTGGGCATCTTGATTAACGAATGATGGATAACTTGGAAGGCAAGGTTTATACAACAAAAGCTGGTTTGTGTGAGGATCTTGTCTTGAGGCAATAAGACCCTTGGGTAAAGAATTTAACGTTTGAATACAAGAAGCATCAGACCAATTACCCTCTACAGATCTGATGCCCTAAAGGGCATCTTCCAAAGACCTCACCAACATAGTCAAGTCCAACCTGCCCAGTTTTTCTTTTCCATAGTCTGTAAGAGTATTGTCTTACAAGGATTAAACCTGGGGCTTTGTGAATGCTAGGCATGTGCTCTACCATTGAATTACACCTCTGGTCCCTTGCAGGTCCTCACGTTTATAATCTTGATGCCTAGACATTTTTCTTACTTTAGAAACCTGGTTCTTCTTAGATACAAAAACAAAACAAAACAAAACAAAACTTGCACCAAGAGCCTGTGGCATTGTGTTCCCTGGAGCAGGCCATAAACACAAGGAAGCAGAATGCACAGGCAGGTGCTTTTTCAGGGAAGGAGATGGCTAAGGTACCTGACTTGTTTTGAATAGTCACTGTGGCTTCTGGGCTGCCTTCCTGGTGCAGCAGTAGCAAGGATGCCAGCTGCAGTGGTAGTCGCTAGGAGTCAGACCTAGCTGCATGTGACAGCAGCATCTAATACTCTGGCACTGAGCAGGGTTTGAGGTCTGGCCTTCCTGATATCCTTTTAGCAAATTCATTCTCTCCTGAATCAGGTCAGTAGCAGTTCTGGCCTTGTAGTAAAGACCAATGATGAGCTTGAGAGCTGTGGCATGAATAGAACCATTCATGAGAAAATCTTCAAGGGGAAAGGCTGAGCAAGCCCGGGGGCTCCTGGAAAACACTCTGCAACGGAAGAGATGGAGCTAGGTTTCAATGGCAGAGGAAAAAACAATCTTTGCTCATTTCATCTGCATGCAGAACATCTGGACAGTCCTCAGCTAACAGCAGTTAATGTTGGGTAGAAAAGCTCTTAAGAGGCAAGCGACGAGATACTTCAGTCGTTCTCAGCCCCTTGTCAAACAGCCTTGATGATGCCAGGTCAGGCATGGGCAAAGCTTTTCCATCTCCCTGTGTTCTCTGGGAGTCTTAATGCACGCTGAGAGGTCTGTGAAAGGCAAAACAAACCAGGGCTGCAGCCCAAGGTCATGGCTTCCGAAGCATTATTCTCCTCCCTCTCTGCCTCTCCCTCTCCTCCTTCTCCCTCTCTTCCTCTCTCCCTTTTCCTCTCCCTGTCTCACCAGGACCTTGCTATGTGTCCCAGCTGATCTCAAATCTGTCATCCTCCTGCCTCCACTTCTGGAGCACTGTATTTACAGGCCTGTACTACCATGTTTGGCCAGGATTGCCTAGTCTTAGCAATCGAATGAGACCAGGATGGAAACCCAGGCTTCCTAAAGATGCCTTCAACCTGCTGGTTAGATGTACAGCTGTTGTTCTTAATGTGCTGCTTGCCACTTACCTAATTCAGCTAATTGTGACAGAAACTAAGGGGAACATCTTTATTCTTAATTGCATGGATGATTAAAAAGCTTATATAGATCTTAATTTAAATTTGGTGAGTCATATGTCCTCAGAAACTTATCCATTTCTTCTAGATTTTTCCATCTTTTTGGAACACAGGTTTCAAAATATTCCCTAATGATCCTGGATGCCGATGGTACCTGTTGGAACAACACCACACTTCTACCCCCATGCCTTTCATCTTTAATATTTTTTTTGAGACAATGTCTCACTGTGTAGCCAGACCTGGACTTCACTATGTAGACCCCAGGCTGGCCTTGAACTCAGAGAAATCCTCCCACCTCTGCCTCTAGAGTGCTAGGAATATAGCATATATATATATATATATATGCTATATATATATGCTATATATATATGCTATATATATGTAATATAATATATATATAATATAATATATATGTAATATAATATATATAATATATGAGATATAACAATATATGCCACTCTAATTTTCCTTTATTTTTCTTCCTTCCTTCTTTCTTTCCTTCCTTCCTTTCTGATTTATCTAATTGCATTGGTGTTTTGCCTGCATGTATATCTGTATGAGGGTGTCAGATCCCCTGGAACTGGAGTTACAGACAGTTCTGAGCTGCCATGTGAGTGTTGGGATTGAACCTGGACCCACTGGAAGAGCAGCCAGTGCTCTTAAATACTGAGCCATTTCTCCAGCCCTGGTCTTCTCTTTTTCTTTTTGTGAGTTTGGCTAGAAGTTGTCAATCCTGTTTGTCTTTTCTTGGGTCAGGAAAGATGGCTCAAAAAAATTCTGCTTGAGGTTACACAGGCTTTTCCTGAAACATGGTGGACCTATGCAAGTGAGGACAAGCAGCCAATTGGATATCTTGATTTGTTCTGACTCTGGATCTTCCAACTGCACATAAAGGCTGTGGTAGCAGCTCCAGGTGACTATGGTGACAGTGGATCTTTGCCCATTTTTTTATTCCGAATGCTGTCTGCTCGATTTGGAGTTTCTCTTCTGTGTTTGCTGCTTTTTTTTGGAAATGAGCTACTTCAGGGGAGGGGCACGGCATGCAGTAGGCACTCAGCAAATGCACACTGCATTGACACATCTTTGCTCAGCTCCTGGTCAGGTGCTGCGGTTTTCTGCTTTTGTTTGCCAACCAAATGGAAACCAATGTCTCGGGCACTTGGCTTCCTCTCCTCTCCAAAATGGAATCTGCAGAGTGCCTGAGAATGGCTGTGGAAGCCACCTGTCAAGGCCAGACTTGGAGCGTCTGCCAGAGCATCAGAACTTTGCCTAGACATTAACCGTGAGAACCGAGGATAAACACTGGGCTTCTGAGGGCTCCACACACTCGGCCTTTCTTACCCTCCAGTCCCAGCTAAACACATGCACTTTTCACTTGAACTCTCTCCCACACTCCAGGGTCCTCCAGAGTCCAGGCTTACTGTCTGTCTGTTCCTCATCTGATCTCCAAGCCTGAAGCCAACCATACACGTTGGCATCACATCCTCTGCTGGTCACCACTGCTTTGACCTGGTCCCCAACTCCTGACCTTCTGCTGTAATACCTCTCACAGCCTGCCCCCTCCACATGCCCTCACTCCATCAGGACTCACCCTACTCTTCCTCAGCACTCTGGTCACACCAGTTCTGATGCC